ACGGTTTATGATATTGGAATAGCAGCATCCTTGGCCCCGTGCAGCAAGTTTGGCAATTAAACTGGTTAGCGGCTGCACACATGTATGTGTCTGAGTCAGCGGCTGTGTGCGTGTATATGTGTGAGTTAGCGGCTGCGCACATGTACATGTGTGAGTTAGCGGCTGTGCACATGTATATGAGTTACCAGCCGTGCACGTGTGTGTGTGAGTTAACGGCTGTGCGCTTGTATGTGCATGACTTAGCAGCCATGTGCGTGGATGTGTGTCAGTTACTGGCTGTGCACATGGACGTGCGTGACTTAGCGGCCACGAGTGTGGATGTGTGTGTCTTTACCAGATGCACGTGTCTTTACTGGACGTGCGCATGGATGTGCATGAGTTAGTGGCCAGGCATGTGGACATGCATGAGTTACCGGCTATGGATGTGGATGTGCGTGAGTTAGCTGCTGTGCACGTGTACGTGTGTGAGTTACTGGCCAGGTGCATGGAGGTGCCTGAGTTACCGGCTGGGCGTGTGCATGGACATGTGTGAGTCACTGGCTGGGCGTGTGAACATGCATGAGTTAGCTGCTGTGCATGTGGTCATGCCTTGAGTTACCGGCTGTGTGCGTGGATGTGTGTGAGTCACTGGCTGTGCACGTGTACATGTGTGTTAGCTGCTGTACACATGTTTCTGTATAAATATTCACACATACACATATATGTGCACACACGAGTGCTTTGATGGTGACAGTAGCTGATGGTGGGTGGACAGGAGCCCACAGTTTTCACAGGCAAACCCCTTCTTATCACCCATGATTTTCAGGCAGCTCCCAATTTGAATTTAGTTGCCAGTGGTGAGACTTGGAATCAGGGTTGCTCATGGAATGCCAGTTCTGGAAGAAGAGCAGGACGCTGGTTCTGAGAATCTCACGGAGGGGCTCCATCACTGAAGGCCTCCTGCCCCTGCTGTGGCGATGCACTTCCAGCCGGGGGCTTGCTTGGCGTGGCCCGCAGGACTGCGGGAGTGGACGGGTCAGTCTGGGCTCCGATGATGGGTTATGTCGATTGGGTGCAGGGCCATGGTGCAGAAAACGGAGTCAGAAGTAGAAGAGAGTTCATGGGGAGACCCTAAGCAAGGTCAGATCCCAGGTGGGGTCTTGACTGTGTCCCAAAAGCACTAAGACAGGAGTCCTGCAAGGGCTGCGTGCAGAGGATGGGGCCTGAGGGCTGGGGGTTCTGGGTAATTTCGAGGGTGATTAAATGGTCAGCTGGGGAGGCGACTTCTGTGTGATCGTTGTGAGGACATGGGTGACGGGAGCACCATCCCTGGTGGTGAGAGTGAAGATGGCGCAGCCTGTGATGCCGATGTGACTGG